CAGAAAATTAAGAGGTGCCAGAAAACAAAACTCCAAATTGTAGCCCTGGGATATTACCTCCTGCACTCAAGCATCAGTAGATGCACCTACATGCTAAGGAATGTTTGAGGATTTGGAAGATCTCGAGTGCATGACTTTGCGGGCGGACTGGGAACCTGGCTTGGAGGGTCTTGATGAGGAAAGAGAAACAAAAAGGAACATATCTGAACAGTGAGCAGGAAGACTTAGCAATCTATTCCATAGGCTTCTTCCACTGAAATCAACGGTCCAACAACATAACCAGAATGTCCACATAAAAGTACTGACAGGATAACCATGCAACAGCAAGTTTTTAACAGACCGGCACAGCTGAAATGAATAATTATAGCCATTTGCTCTCATATACACCATGATTTAACAAAGTACAATCACAAGCAAGGGTTGTCGATGCCACTAATTTATTGACACTAATCTGAACACTACAACAATATGAAAAATTCTCAAAAGTGGGCATAATATAGCTGCAGACCAAAACAAACTATGCCCACTTCTAACAATGCATCTGCAGAGGGGTTCTGAACCAAACCATAGAATTCTACCTAGTCTGTTGGATTTAGCAGAGTAGGATTAAAAATTTGGTACTCCTCAATCACAGAAAAAAGCTAGACGGGAACCTACTCATCAGGATGGGATGAGCACGGTTAACACTTGTGTCAGGGCAAGTGGTGCTGCAGAGAGAGACACTAAACTCCCCAAATAATATCTGACCGCAAGAGATGGCAGATACAAAGCTAAAAGCAGCTTAAAGTGGAGCTCCACCCAAAAGAGGAAGTTTCGCTTTAAGCCTTTGTCCCCCGCTCCCCATTAAGGATTGGCACCTTTGGGGAGTGGGTACCCGAATTTGACAGGTACCCGCTCCCACTGCGATCGGAAGAGAAAGTTGTCCCCTCCCTCGCCGTAGTCTTCTGGGACATGTGACAGGTCACAAAAAATACAGGGCCATTCACAAAACGCATCGCTTCTCGCGCATGTGCAGGGGGCACCCGGCTGTGAAGCCTCAAGCTGTCACAGCTGGGTGTCTACTGAAGATGCCGGCACCAGTGAGAGAAGACGGCCGGTGAAACCAGTGGTGGTGAAGACACCTCTGGACCGAAGGACAGGTAAAGTGTCTGTATTTTAAAAGTCAGCAGCTACAGTTTATTTTTTTTTTTTTTTAGGTGCAACGCCGCTTTAACAATAGTCAGAGGAGGCTTTATGAGCTTGTGTGGGTAAACTCCATTAACCTCCCTAGCGGTCTGATTATGTCAGTATTTCTGTGCTGAAAGCGGTATATTGTTTTCAATGGAAATGTTATTTTTTTTTATTGCAGGCCTGTAATTCTTAGGAATAACTCACTGAAATCTGTCCGAACAAGAGTCTAGTAAACATTCCAGGTATTATAAAATTTGAAACTCGAAATCATAAATTATAATATAAATAATCATAAAAAATAATATAATAATAAATTTTATTCACTAATGTAATCAAACCAAAAACGCTGACATTTGAAATAGAGCGCAAAGTTCGCACATCGCTGAGCTCAGTCGCAGAATCGTTTTCGGTGTCTGATGACGAATTTCCCCACGAATCATCACTCAATTCTGCAAGTGATTCTAATTCGCTATCTCTGTTCTCTAGCTGGTCTAAAACCAACTTTGACCTAAAGGGACGCTTTATGGATGCCATGGACGTTTCTAAGTTTCCTGGCAGAAAGAACGGTAAAAATGCAGGCAGGGCACAGGACAAAGCACTGGGGACAAAATGTATGTGAAATGATTTGATGCAGTAATGCAATACTATCAGATTTTAGTGTATTATGTGTACGTGAAATGTTGACTTTTTTAAATCTCCCGCCGGTTCCATCCCCCGTACGTCCTGACGCTCGCAGGGAACGGAACCCAGAAGACGGATGCCGGCATCGGCTGGAGGACATGGCCGGGGATGCAGTGGGAGGACAGCGCGGGACAAGGTAAGTGATCCAGGGATCCCAGAGCAATGCTGCAGTGTAATCCCGAGTGTAGCTCGGGGTTACCGCTTCTGGTACTGATAATTAACCCCGAGCTACACTCGGGAATACCACCAGGGGGGGTTAAAAAGTGCTAACTGAAGTGTGCAGCATCCAGCAAGGGGCACTTAGGAGGGATTGCTATAGGCATGAGAGTAAAAAAAAAATACAGCCACTAAACCATCAGGCCTACTTCACATGGGCGATTAACCACATACACCTGATTCTTGCTGCTGGAATGACAGGAGCAAGTTAATAACAGTGGCCGCTAAGCATAAATCAAGTAATGATGGGCAGAAAGTGGCCAATGTTGTTTGTGGAACACTACCACGTGGTTACCTGCAGTTAGGGATGGATGTCTAAGCCTGAACGCATCTGACTGCACCCAGGCTCAGACAATTGTTTGTAAATGCAGGAAACCGACTGGTGCACTGATTCGTGCTGCTGGAATCTGGTGTATGTAGCTAAACAATCATGTGAAGGGCTTCTTAGATGGCAGCAACAATACCAAGCTACATTACTGCGTACAGTGTTGGAGACAGCTTTTCCCTGCAGCCCTTTCACATAAAACCAAGGAAGGTAGAGATTACATGTGCACAAAACTTGCTCTCTCCAGGCACATTCACCAATGCCCTTCCACAGTAAAAAAAAAAAATACTTTCACAAGCAGGCATTCTCTGTGTTCTGAATGGGAACTGCATCATCAGGAGTCAAGGAGAAGAGATAATTCCCCTAGCAAAGCTAGGCAGAAATAAAATAGGTGAGCTCCTCCATGTGGCCAACATGCAACTTACATAAAGCATAAGCAAGCAAAGGTCACCACAGACATATTCAGCACCCCTGTAACGTACAGTCCATTGTAACTGCAGGAACCAGAAATATCAGTGATAGCAATGCAAAAAGTACAAATATCACAAGTGTTCACTGGCACACAATGACCTGCTAATGACAGTCTGTTCCTGACAATACTGCCTCTGACAGAATCTCATACACAATTAGGGAGGAATCCCCAGCACAGCATTAGTCGGCTAAATTTACTCAGAAAGGTCTCCAGGGTCAGGTGAAACTGTCCCAGCTCTGGACAAGAGAGAACAGTGTAAAAAAACTGGGAAAAACTGTACTTTTTGGCTGACTGGAGAAACATCCAGGATTTAACTTATCTGGCATGAATCTATCAGTACCTGACTTACTGGAGAGACTTTTTGGATTCAATATATAGAATACATTTCTACCAGCAGCTGTTGATAGAAAAATATTACAAACGAACCCAGAAAACACGTCGACTCTCCTTACGACACTACAAAAAAAATGGGGGCATGATGGTTGTAGGTGGGTAAACCTCTGCTAACCAACAGTTGCCAGTGTCCACTTCTTCTGTAGCACAGTGTTTTTCTCTCAATGGACAAGATAGAATATATCAAATACTCAGATGCAATATTTCATATTAACCTTAACAAAAATATTTCAAAGTTTATCTTTTAGTCAAGAATATAAAATAATTTACAGAGAAAGCACAATACATTTTCATTAAACAATACAGTATATGAGGCCACACAAATCAAGTGGACAAAATTAGGAAATTGTGCTTAGTTAGGCTAGTTAATTTATTCCTAAAATATATTGTAAGATATGAAATTTGCAAAACAGAAAAGGGTGAGCAAAAAGAAAATAGAGGATTTTGATTTAAAATTAGTAGAGGACTGCAAATGCCCTATAGCTAATCTGACGGTTTTAATTATATTTTGCTTTTGTCAAAGCCAAATTTGTTTTACATTGTAAATTACAGCAAGTTCTATAATTTAATTGATGTTGTGCTTTGAATTTCATCTAAATTATTACCCCTCCATAAAACAAATTTTTTTTTTTTTTCTTTTTACATGTGGTGATGAGGGAGTTGGAACCCCTGCTATAGTTAATTGTGCTATTTATGTTTCCATTGGGGAATATTACCACCTTGAATTTTCCTGGTGACCATTGTCACTCGGACAGAAAGTGATGGAACTCAAAATCCTCCATTTTGAGTTCTTACCAGAGGAGCTATAGATGGGAACACCTTCCAACTGGGATACTTGGTTTGGTGACAGAACTACCCTTCCTTTGAAGAGACTTCCTCTCACTGTCTGTTGTGTCTTTCTGGTACAGAAAGTGAGGGGTTTTATTCCGAAAGTGAATAAAAAAAACCCCGACAGGAGTTTTAACTATTCTCTACTTTATCCAAAATAAAATTTTGGGCTTAAATACACCTTAAAACAAAAAATTGGAGTCATGTTTTGTATAAGGCTGCTTATAAAAATCTGAGCTTTACCATATCACTGCCATATAGTTTATCTTTGCAAATGTGATATATGAAAGTCAAGAGGGTGAGATGCCTTTCTCCACAGCTAGCCATCAGCCTGGAGCCTACTGCTTGGCAATATATATTTGATGCAAACCTTAAGTACTGAATACATATAAAAGGGTGTGTATTTGAAATTAAAGTACATTTTTTTTTCTGTTTAAATAACAAATGTTATACTTGCCTGCTCTGTGTAATGGTTTTGCACATAGCAGTCCTCATCCTCCTTGATCCCAAGCCAAGCTCTGTGTGTCCAATGATACACAGAGGCTGTCTCAGCCCTGCCCCCTGCTGTCCCCTCCAATGGCTCCCACTGCTGCCTTAATGGCCAGTGAGGAGAGAGAGAAGAGAGAGAAGAGAGAGCAGAGAGAACCGCTGCTCTCTGGCATAGCGCTGGATCAAGATCAGGCTAAAAAAATGCATTAAAAGGTAATAAGAAGAAAAAAAAAAGTCTGCCTTTAGAACCACTTTAAGTATTAGGCTGATGTTCAACATTTAAGTTTCATAACCATTTAAAAATAAAGCCTCATGTGCCTAATACCACAAACCTACACATTACAACCATATATTTTAGCTATCCATGTTATGGGATATTTATTTGGTAAACAGTTCTATATAAGCCATTAAAAGAATAAAACATACCTGTCTAGATCTTGGCCGGCCAGGAGAAAACTTCCTTTTGGTAATAGCTGGCTTACCCATGCCAATTTTTGGCGTTACGGATATAAATGTGGTGGAAAAGGCATTTGCTGTGCTAAAACTATGTGCCGAAGTTTGACTTTGAAACAGCTCATTCGAAGAATGAAAGTCAATAGATACTGCTGGTGAGGATGACACGCTGGTCTTACTAGTGTCAACAGAGGTGGCAGGGGAATCCATTCCCGTGGGTGACTTAAGAATTTTGAGTCCTAAGGGTGAGCTCATTTCTGTAGATGTCTCACTGTTTGGAGTGGCTTCCATGTCGTGAACGTCCACGTTTTCCGAAATGAGAGGATCCTCTTTCTTTATTGAAATGTGATCATGGCCTCTGTCAAAGTGCTCATCTAACTGTACATAAGCATCATCTGTGCATTTGACTTTGCAAGGCGATTTACAGGAATTCTCCAGGACATCTGAAAAGGTTTGTGAATTACATCTGTTCTCGGATGAAGTCTGAGATTCTTGCGGATGAACACAAATTTCTTCATCTTGAAGACACAGTGGCTGATGAGATGACGTGTTCTTTTCAGCTTCATCTGTCCTGTCATTGGACAGCATGTGTGCCGTGTCTGAATGGGACACATCCATACTGTCTGTATCTACCTTAACGGGTGATTTGCTTTCTATGTCCGGTTTGACATCATTCTCTGGTGTGTCTATAATATTAAACAGATATACAGACATGTAAAAAAAATTTCCTTATTGCCAGGTTTGTTACAAAGCCAAATGCAAAACTTAGTTTTTACATCTCTGCTTTATGCTGCAGCATTAAAAAAGAGGCAAAGTATCAAAGTCTACTCCATAAGACTAAAAAATTGGTTTTGTTCTGCTTATATCATAACACTTTCTAAACAGACTCAGACATAAGCATCAAAAGGAAAAAATATCTAACAAATACATTGCATATACAGTGGGGAAAATACATGTTTGATTCCCTGCAGATTTTGTAAGTTTGGTTTGCCCACTTGCAAAGAAAAGAAGGGTCTATAATTTTTATCATAGGCGTATTTTAAAAGATAAAGACAACCAAAAATCAAGAAAAAAACATGATACAAATGTTATAAATTGAGTTGCAGTTCAGTGAGTAAAATAAGTATTTGATCCCTTACCAACCAACAATAATTCTGGCTCCCACAGACTGGCTATGTGCTCACATGGTACACAGATTAGTCCTGTCAATTTAAGAAGGTGATCCTAACAACAACTCATTATGTGTATAAAAGACACGGGTCCACAGAATCTCATCTTCCTCATCACTATGGGCAAGACCAAAGAGCTGTCAAAGGACATCAGGGAGAAGACTGTAGATTTGCACAAGGCTGGAATGTGCTACAAGGCCATCAGCAAGAAGCTTGGTGAGAAGGAGACAACTGTTGAGTGATTATTCGCACATGGAAGAAATACAAAATAACTATCAATCGCCATCGGTATGGAGCTTCATGGAAGATTTTGCCTCATGGGGTAAGGATGATCATGAGAAAGTGAGGGATCAGCCCAGAACTACACTGGAGGAGCTTGTGAATGATCTCAGGGCAGTTGGGACCACAGTTAGCAAACAAACCATTGGTAACACAATACACCGCTATGGATTGAAATCCTGCTGCACCTGCAAGGTCCCCCCTCCTCAAGAATGCACATGCCCAGGCCCGTCTGAAGTTTGCCAGTGAACATCCAAATGATTCAGAGAAGGATTGGGAGAAAGTGCTGTGGTCAGATGAGACCGAAGTTGAGCTATTTGGCATTGACTCAACTCGCTGTGTTTGGAGGAAGAAAAATGATGACTATGACCCTAAGAACATCCCTAAAGTCAAGCACGGAGGTGAAAACATTATGCTTTGGGGAGGTTTTTCTCTGCTAAAAGGTACAGGCTGACTTTGCCGCATTGAGGGGCCAATGGACGGGACAATGTATTGTAAAATCTTGGAAAAGAACCCTCTTCCCTCAGACAGAACACTGAAGATGGGTCATGGATGGGTCTTCCAGCATGACACTGATCCAAAACATACCACCAAGTCAACAAAGGGGTGGCTCAAGAAGAAGCACATTAAGGTCATGGACTGGTGTAGCCAGTCTCCAGACCTTAATCCTATAGAAAATTTATGGAGGGAGCTGAAACTTCGAGTTGCCAAGTGACAGGCAAGAAACCTTAAAGTATTACTAAACCCACAGCAGTAAAATCAGTCTGTATATGCAGTAAAGTGTGCTTGTTATACTCACTGTGGAACCCAAGATGTTAATCCTCTGCATTGTGTAAAAAGACTGTTTGAGCCTGACTTCTCCGCCCCTCCTCTTGTTCAAATGCCCATGCTGATAAGACAGACTGAACCCTGTACCCCTTCTGCACATGCTCAGTTTAGTGTGTATTGCTAGAGATGTTTTTTGTTTTTATCTTGGGAGAGTGCATGAGATCAGCACCGGGCCAATCAGCACTGTCCAGACAGAGGTCAGGGGTTCTACATCCTCTTAAAGCAAAAAGAAAAATCTTCCTACAAGCTTTAACCAGTGCTCAGCTTAAGTCACAAACCTGCTCTAACTGCTGATGAGAAAAGGTATTTAGCATTTTATATTTATTAAAATAATTGCATTTCCATGTTGTGTGTACTGTGGGAGACCAGATATAGTGAATGCAGAGTCTTGGGTTTAGTAACACTGTAAGGATTTAGAGAAGGTCTGTAAAGAAGAGTGGACCAAAATCCCTCCTAAGATATGTGCAAACCTGGTAACCAACTGCAAGAAACGTTTTACCGCTGCTTGCCAACAAGGGTTTCTCCACCAAGCACTCCAAGTCATGCTTTGCTTGGGGATACTTATTTTTCTCACTGAACTGCAACTACATTTATAACATTTGTATCATGTGTTTTTCTGGATTTTTGGTTGACATTCTGTCTCTATCATTTAAAATACACCTATAATTTATTTCAGGTACTTATATAGCGCCGTCAATTTTTACGCAGCGCTTTACATATATTTAGACAGGACCAATTCACCTACCAGCATGTCTTTGAAGTGTGGAAGGAAACCGGAGTACCCGGAGGAAACCCACGCAGGCACAGGGAGAACATGAAAACTCCAGGCAGGTGGTGCCATGGTTGGGATTCGAACCAATGACCCTAGTACTGCCAGGCAGAAGTGCTAACCATTTAGCCACTGTGATAAAAATTATAGACCCTTCATTTCTTTTCAAGTGGGCAAACTTACAAAATCTGCAGGGGGATTACATAATTATTTTCCCCACTGTACTTTGCATGCGTAAAAAATCTGCAGCTGCTAAATAAGTAAAGATGTGAACATATTTCTTTTCAGGTATGTATGATGCTTGCTGTGCCCTGAAAATGGCAAACAGGTTTAATCAACAACTTAAACAAGAACTTTCTTCTTTAACACCTATTGCTTTTCTAAATGGACACTTTTAAACCTGAATTCCACCTACATCTGAGACACATATTGTGCATCCACCTTCCAACCATTCTACTGTGTCATGTCAAATCATTATACAAAAGGTCACATGGTTTAAAACACACAACTTGTATAGCATGCATCTAGTTCAGTGGTTCAGGGGGTGGGCAATTACATTTCCCATAAAACAATATGATACCGGGGCTATTGTGGAAGGTCAAACAAATAGGGTAGAAGCAGACTGAGACAGATGGATCATTATCGCCCCTGTGGGAGAAATACTGATGTGCGTTGCCGTCCAACAGGATCGCAGTGCCCATGCACCAATCTCAATTCATCGCACTGCTCACTTTTTTTCCCCTTAACCTCCCTGGCGGTCTGATTATGTCAGTATTTCTGTGCTCAAAGTAGTACACGGTTTTCAATGGAAATATGTTTTTTATTTGTAGGCCTGTAATTCTTAGGAATAACTCATTGAAATCTGTCCGAACAAGAGTCTAGTAAACATCCGGGGTATGATAAAATTTGAAACACGAAATCATAAATTATAATATAATCATAAAAAATAATAATATAATAAATTTTATTCAAAAATGTAATCAAACCAAAAACACTGAAATTTGAAATAAAAGCGCCAAGTTCGCACATCACTGAGCTCAGTCGCAAAATCGTTTTCAGTGTCTGATGACGAATTTCCCCACGAATCATTACCACTCAATTCTGCAAGTGATTCTAATTTACGATCGCTGTTTTCTAGCTGGTCTAAAACACCTTTTAACCTAAAGGGACGCTTTTTGGATGCCATGGACGTTTCTCAGTTTTCAGGCAGAAAGAACAGTAAAAATACAGGCAGGGAACAGAACAAAGCACTCGGGACAAAATGTATGTGAAATGGTTTTATACAGTAATGTAATACTATCAGATTTTAGTGTATTGAGTGAATGTCAAATTTTTTAAATTCCCGGTTCGCCCCCCCCCCCCCCCCCCCCCGGAAGTACCGATGCTCGCAGGGTACGGAACCTGGAAGATGGATGCCAGCATCGGCCGGAGGACATGGCTGGGGATGCTGGGGGACATCGCGGGACCACAGGACAAGGTAAGTGCTGGAGGAAATCCCTGAGCAACGCTGCAGTGAAAGGCTACGTTCACACTAGCCTTGTGTGCAGGCGGCAGAGAGGCGTTTGGGAAGCGTTTTTACTGCTTCCCAAATGCCTCTGCCAATTCTGCACATTACAGCACATGGTGCTGTTCTAACGGGAGCATTTGAGTCGCGTCGCGGCAAAACGGACGCCTCTGGTCGAGTCAGGAGGCTTTGAAGCCTCCTATTCTCGTCTATGGTGCCGCTCCGCAAACGCCCGGCCGGCGTTTGCGGTGCGGTTGCGACGTGGTTGCGGGGCGTTTGCGGAGCGGTAACACCACTCAAACTGTATTATAGGCGTTTGTGGGGCGTTATTAACGCTCGGCAAACACCTAGCAACCGCCACTAAACCGCGCATGCGGCGTTTGTGGAGCGTTTGCCGAGCGTTAATAATGCCCACAAACGTCGGACCAACGTTTGCCAAACGCTATAGGGGCGTTTGGCAAGCGTTGGTAAAACAGCCAAGTGTGAACGAGCCCTAAGTGCAGCTCGGGGTTACCTACTGAGTGCAGCTTGGGGTTTCCGCTTCTGGTACTGAAAGTTACCCCGAGCTACACTCGGGAATACCGCCACGGGAGAGGGTGGATTGTCTCACACTGCACTCCAAAACACTACTGCATGCAAATATTAAAATTAATCCAAAACAAACATGTAAATCTTATTAAAAACAGCCCATCAACAGATCCAGGACACACTCTTGTTTCATGACAGTATATATGAAGGTTAA